TGTTCATCGCAGCATTATTTTACAATAGCGAAGATTTGTAAAATGTGTGATACGGCAGCCAAATGTCCTTTAGTAGATGGAATACCATTCTGCCATAAAAAGGAAGAAAATTTTATGCTTTGTGACAGCATGGATGGACCTGAAGAACATTATGTTAAGTGAAATAAACAGTCAGAGAAAGACAAGTACCATATAATTTCACTCATATGTGGAATTTAATGGACAATCTGAACTAATAAGCAAAGTAGAGACAGACTCATAGATAGAGAGCCGGCAGACAGCTGTGGTGGTGGGGTGTTGGAATGGGGTGGAGGGATTGAGCAAAAAAGAAAATAAAAGAGAACTCATGGATATAGACAACAGTGTGCTGATTGGGGGGGAGGGGAGTGGGTGAAGGTGGAGGAGGGTATAGGGGGATAAATGGTGATGGGGGAAAAATAAAGAAAAAAATAAAAGCAGTAGTCTGAGTGTTGAATGTAGGAGCAGGTTCTGTGTGCCCAGCGGGGCCATGCTGTAGAATACTGCCCATAGTTTCTAATGTTAACAAAAGTTAACATCATTTTAGCAGATTTATTAAGGTAGAGAAAAGCTATACTTTATGAAGTAGCATCATCCAATAAAAATATAATGTAAGCCACAATGTAATTTTAAATTTCCTAGTAACCACATTAAAAAGGCAAAAAGAGCCTGGCCGGTGTGGCTCAGTGGTTGAGTGTTGTCCCATGCACTAAAGGTCACCGGATTTGATTCCAGGTCAGGGCACATGCCCAGCTTGCAGGCTCAATTCCCAGTAGGGGGTGTGCAGGAGGCAGCCAATTAATGTTTCTCTCTTTTACATCAATGTTTCTATCTCTCCCTTCCCCTTCCTCTCTCTCTCTTAAAAAAAAAAAATCAATACATACTTAAAAAAAGGCAAAAAACCCAAAAAACAGATGGAAGTAATTTTAATGTATTTTATTTAACCTAATATATCTATAATATAATTTAACATGTTGAAATATTTTGCATTCTTTTTTCATACTGATTCTTCAAAATCAGGTATTTATTCTACACTTATAGCACATTTCAGTTTGGATGAGCCATATCAAGTATTCAGTTGCTATGTGAGGCTGTTACTGTATTGATAGTTTTGGGGCTATTTTTATAAAATCATACTCAAGGCCACTAGAGACACAGCATAGTATACTGATTTTTACTTGAATCCAGATTCAGGTTTTGGCTTTGACTCTCTCACTGTATTTATTCTTAAAACATTTACTGACATCTAATTTAAAAAATTATGTCGTTTATTTCTATGATCAGACATGTAATATTGGAGAGAAGTTAAATGTTATTTTGCTGTTCTAGTTCAGTGATGGTGAACCTTTTGAGCTCGGCATGTCAGCATTTTGAAAAACCCTAACTTAACTCTGGTGCCGTGTCACATATAGAAATTTTTTGATATTTGCAACCATAGTAAAAGATTTATATTTTTGATATTTATTTTATAGATTTAAATGCCATTTAACAAAGAAAAATCAACCAAAAAATGAGTTTGCATGTCACCTCTGTCACGCGTGTCATAGGTTCACCATCACTGTTCTAATTACTGCAGGACCCACTGAAGGAAATTGTCAGTTCTACCTGGATAACTCTCAGTAGTAGTCAGTGGCTTCATGAAGAGGGTTCTTGGTATGTGAGATAGAGGAAGGGCTCAGGTAAAGTCAGGGAGGCTGGAAATAGTACTGCTGCCTGGAGCATGGATGTGGGTGGCTGAAGGAATAGTGTGGCTGAATTAGAGTCAGGGGTTATGTCTTTGCAGAATACCTGAAACATGGTTTCGAATATAGGCAGTGAGCACCCACCAAAGAACTTTAAGAAGGAAGTCACAAGGTAAGATTTGTTCTTCTTTTACTTTAACATCTTGGCCAAGTCACTTGACCATTTAGACATGCCCCTCAGTTTTTTCTGTAAATCCAGTGTATTGAAATCTACTCAGTGAGGGGCTTTGAAGGTTAAGTGAACTTTCCTGATGACCCAGCTCAAACTCCTGGTGAATTGAGAGACCGCTTCTCTGGTAGTTTCCTTTAGCACCAATCCTTCAACGTGGCTGCGCTCCAGTAGTAACAGGGAAAGCTTTTGAAAGTACACATTCTTGAGATTCAAGAATAAGTTTTAGGGTAGTGTCGGGAAATCTGTTTTTGACAAGCTCCCTCGGTGATTGTTGTGTAGCCACCTGTTTCAGGTTTGCACGCACAGGATAGTGCAGAGTTCATTTCTCAGCTTTTATTATAGGACGCGAGCATTAGGCAACACCTACTCCTCCTGCCTCTGTGCCAGCTGCCACGTCCTTTGTAGGTGGATGTTTTGTAGACCCTGCTCTGATCACAGTGATAATTACCAGTGGCCGAGGGCTCCTGTGTATGATGTTGACCAGTTGCTTCTTAGGCAGCCTCTGGCTCTGCACAGAGTGGCCTCATTTAGTTGATACCTGGCAGCTTCCATACATGTATGTATAGTCTTTGTTTACCTTAGCCAGCACTCCTTAAGTTTGCTTACACTCTCGTTTTTGTTGCTTTATTAACATGAAGTCACTTTCTAACTTACAAGGAGCAGAGCAAGCCCAACTGGTCAGTTAACTAAGGGTGGTTATTTTGCAGTAGCTCTTTATTGTGGTGATACTTATAATAATTATTATTTCCTTTTTCTGTTACTACTTTTAATAGTAGTGCTTTCAACTGAAAATTAATATCAATTAATGTGTTTTCTCACCAACAATGATTTGGGAAAGAGAAAGAGTTACAATCCAGTGCCTGCAGACTAAGGCAAGCCATGTGCACAGTCTGCTCTGTGAGCCAAGATGGGGTGGTATTTTACCAAGGGAAGAAGAGGTCAAGGGAAGGCGAAGTTAGAACCATAGAGCTTCATTCTGAGCATAGAGTTCTTCCTGTAGAATTCTCATGTGCTCTCGAGTAGGGGACTTCCATAAGCCCTAGCCCCTCCCATAGACTCTCCAAACTGATTGTTTTCTTCAAGTTCCAGTTCAGGTTTATCAGTGCTATCATTCAACTATTGCCATCATTAATGTATTTACCTTCACAATATCTCTGTTTTAAGGGGAAAATCACTGCTGGAATAATGAAGTGTCTCTGAATGTTGAATTTTCTCTCCTTGATTTCCTCTCTTGGTCTTAGGTTGTTTTAGAATTCTGATTGGATATGAACAAAACTACGCATTTCACCTAGCATATCAACTTGGACTTTGTCACCCCTTCAGGTGGTCAGAGTGCTGATTTTGACTTTATGTCTTATCTTTTAGTAATTTAAGAAATAGGGAATGAGAAATAGAAGCGTGGTATGAAAAAGAGATCAAAACGTTTATTTTGAGACTGGCTGCTTATTTATTTGAAAACCCAACAAAACAATTTATGGTAGGCTGCTCGCTTAGTAGGTCTCCTGGCAGCAGGGAAAATTGTTTAAGTTCTTCCATCTCAGAAGAAAACACATTTTGTAAACATGTATATTTTTACACCTAGGGTACTCACACGGGCTCTGTTCTGTTGCTTTTAGTTTCAGTGGTGTTGCCCTTGTTCCTGGGTGGTGGCAGGGATGGTGTTAATAGCAGTGGTGGGATAGCGTGGAGTGGTGACTGTGGCAGGTCCTAATACATTATTAGGCAGAAGTAAATGTTCCCTTCATTCCATCTGGACTGGGACCTGTTAATTCTTCTCAATGTGGTGTGCTGCTAGCATCTTTTTCCTTCACCCCCCTGCCTCCCATTGTGTTCCTCATTTACTCTGATGTGCTTTCCCTTTAGCCTCTCTTCTTAGAGCTCTGCACTCTTACTCTCACCTTTATGCTTTCTTGCCCTCAGCTTTTCTCTCTACCACACCATGCTCAAGGAAAAGACTCTTTAAAAAAATACGTTTATTGTTGAAAGTATTACAGATGTCTCCCTTCTTCCCCATACCCATTCCACCCTATTCCCTCCTCTCATCCCCCAGGCAAGGAGGAAGCTGAGAGGGAGTTGGCAGTAAATAGAATCTGGGTGGGGAAAAAAGAATTGAAAAGAGACTCAGGCCCTTCCAAAGGCTGAAGGCAATTTGTTTATTATCTTCCGGGTGCCATGAACACATGTTGGATTGCAGTGGAAACATTTAATACCCAAACCACCGATGCTGCTCAGAAAAATGATTTGTGCCGAGCCAATTGGTAATTTTGAAGATTTGTTTCATGATCACTGGGTTTTAAAATCATATCTATTTTCTTGTTTGGAAAATGATGAAATTTCTAGTTGGATATCAGCTATTTTATATGATGCAATCTAATAATAGCAGACAGTCTGTTGTGTCCATTGCAGTAGCATTTGAAAGGAAACTTTGCGTCTTTTCTACTATCTAACAACTAATCTTGCTGGACAACTTAGAAAGGAAAGGAATTTTTGCTGGTTTATTTTGAAATACAATTTTATTAAGGATTTAATTAATATCAATATTGTCAGTATTATAGGATTTATGGATCCTCTCACTTTTAATTTCTTCTGAATTAGAAGAAAATAGGAAGCATAACTATAAATTTGGTGCAATTTAGAAAGATTCAGATCTACAAAATAGACATGATTATTCATGCATCAGAAGTATTCTTCCCCTGATGAAAGGTAAGTCTGAAGTCCTTAAGATGTATCATTTATATGGTGTGTTTAAGAATCAGTTTTCACATCATTAACTACTTGAGGGAATAAGATAGAAAGAAAATTGAAGTCATGTAATCCATTGAAGATTAATCTGAAAATAAGGTTAAGTATCTCTAAAATTCTAGACACAGCCAGTGGAAAAATGGTGAATTCATGACACAACCCAATTTTGAAGAGTTTATTTGTGGTACAATTATTGCTTAGATTTAAGGACTCCTGAACTAACTTTATGGTATAGTGAGAAGTAGTATTATAATTAAGGTACTGTTTGTGCTTCCCTGAATCTTCCTCCTTTCTTCTAAATGTTCCTGTATCTTTTTCTTTTTAAGGTTTCCACACCTGGATTGTCAACTAGGGCCAGTTGTCACCAATGTCAGTAAAGCTTGTTTTCTGGGGGTCAAGGTGAGTGTATGTGTATTTCTGTTGGCTTTGTCATTCCATTTGACTTGGGTCCATAATTGCCTCTTAAATATTGCAGTACGATTTCTGGTACTGCAAGTAATAACTGATGGCAATTTTTGTAAATATTAGTATTGAAACAAGAAAATTGAAATGAATTCTCATATGAAAGCCTAATTTAATAATGCTTTTAAGAAATGAGGAATATATTCAGACATTGACTGAAACTCAAGTTAAAACAGCATATTTTGTTAACGATTTTAAATTGGTAGAGTGTGTCTGTCATGGACATCTCTTTCCTTGTGGTAATTAATCTTCTCTGCAACAAAAGGTTATTGTATTCTTGCTGACACATGTTTAGTAACATCAACGGACAGAAATAGGACAAGGGGATGCAGTAGCATTTAGGGGCTTGCTTTGAGTGTAGGATGTGCTTGAAAACTGAAATTACTAAGAAAAAAGACCAGATTTGGGGAGGGGGTGTTAATACAGCACAAACAGATTTTATTAAACTAATAGTAGAAGTGTAGCAAACAGCCAAGACCCCAGACAGTTTAAAACATTTGAGAGAAGCTTTTCTGAGGGCTGCTGTGAGCCCATATGACATTTTGTGCCAATTAGACAAAGTCGCCCCTTCCACAGATATTCTACTTCCATTTGATGGAAAATTGTTAGACTGTATTGATTTTTAGAATAAGATACTTTATTGCCATATGCGGGGAAATGACAATTTAAATAAATTATCCATCTTTAAAATTGTAATAAAAATATAATTTTAAAGGTAGTAGGGATACTAATGATGTGATTGGTGTCCCCTTAGATATGGTGGCCTTGAATGTTCACACCCTGAACAACTGCGAGGTTGGCTTTTTGTTGGGATTCAGTGCAGGACAGAATCTAAGGACGGGGGGCTTTTATTAAGTTCTAGTCATTGGGGACAGAAGATAAAAATACTAGTTTGGGGTCTGGCTTTTTTTAAATTTTTATTTTGTTAAATCTTTATTGTTCAGATTATTACATTTGTTCCTCTTTTTTCCCCCCATAACTCCCCTCCTCCCAGTTCCTGCCCCACCCTCCGCCCTCACTCCCCACCCACTGTCCTCATCCATAAGTGCACGATTTTTGTCCAGTCTCTTCCCCCATCTCCCACACCCCATTCCCCCACAAGAATAGTCAGTCCATTCCCTTTCTATGTCCCTGATTCTATTTTAATCACCAGTTCATTCTGTACATCAGATTATTTATTCACTTGATTCTTAGATTCACTTGTTGATAGATGCATGTTTGTTGTTCATAATTTGTATCTTTACCTTTTTCTTCTTCTTCCTCTTCTTAAAGGATACCTTTCAGCATTTCATATAATACTGGTTTGGTGGTGATGAACTCCTTTAGCTTTTCCTTATCTGTGAAGCTCTTTATCTGACCTTCAATTCTGAATGATAGCTTTGCTGGATAAAGTAATCTTGGTTGTAGGTTCTTGGTATTCATCATTTTGAATATTTCTTGCCACTCCCTCCTGGCCTGCAAAGTTTCTGTTGAGAAATCAGCTGACAGTTGTATGGGTATTCCCTTGTAGGTAACTGAGTTTCTTTATCTTGCTGCTTTTAAGATTCTCTCTTTGTCTTTTGCTCTTGGCATTTTCATTATGATGTGTCTTGGTGTGGTCCTCTTTGGATTCCTTTTGCTTGGGGTTCTCTGCGCTTCCTGGACCTGTAAGTCTATTTCTTTCACCAGGTGGGGGAAGTTTTCTGTCATTATTTCTTCAAATAGGTTTTCAATATCTTGCTCTCTCTCATCTTCTGGCACCCCTATAATTCTGATGTTGGTACGCTTGAAGTTGTCCCAGAGGCTCCTTACACTATCTTCGTATTTTCGGATTCTTTTTTCATTTTGCTTTTCTGGTTGGGTGTTTTTTGCTTCTTCCCGTTTCAGATCTTTGACTTGATTCTTGTGCTCCTCTGGTCTGCTGTTGGGAGTCTGTATAATATTCTTTATTTCAGTCAGTGTATGCTTAATTTCTAGTTGGTTCTTTATCACAACATCGAGGGTCTCATTAGATTTCTTGAGGATCTCACTACATTTAACGGCAGTTTCTAGAAAATTATTGAAAGACCGAAAAAGTGCGGTTTTTAGCTCTATATCCTCCATTTCTGTCATGTTTCTTTCCACATTTTTTATGCTTTCTTGGTGCACCCCCTTGTGGTCTTTGTGCGCAGTCTTGTTGCAGTTAAGCCTTGATTGTTGTCGGCAATACTGGGGGTGATTTGACCTCCAGGCTAACTGGCTATGAGAGTCAGCTGTGTCTGCAGTGGGAGAACTTCTGTGCTGGATCTCTAGGGCGGTGCTAATCTAGCGTTTGCCTAAGGCTATCCGGCAAATGCCTCTGTGCAGGGCTTGGGTGGGGATCTACAGGGCGGGTGGAGCGAGCAGTTATGGCTGCTCTCAGTTCCGTCCCCAGGGGCTCTGCCTCTCAGAGTCCCAGCAACCGATGCAAACCTCTGAGAGAAAGCTGCCTTCGAGTTCCGACCGAAGCCAGACAGTCCCGCTTCTCCCGTTTGAGTCTGGGTCCCTAGAGACTTGCCGGGATCTGGAGCTCAGAGTCTGAAACTCCCTCCCGATTGAAAACAACAACCGCACCCTCAGCCGCCAGCCTACTCCTCATGCACTCCGCACCTGAGTATTTCACTTCAGCACTGCGCTTCCTCTGAGTCGGTATGCTATTCTCTTTCCTCCTAGTTGTAGAACTTCCACTCAGCCAGCCTTCCTGTGGTTCTGGATGATGTCAGTTCTGTCTTTTAGTTGTATTTTTGAAGTGGTTGTTCGAGGCAGCAAACTCCGGAGTTAACCTATGCCGCCATCTTGGTTTTTTCCCTGGGGTCTGGCTTTGATGGGACACTTAGGTTCTATGAAAGAAACTTAACAGAGAGATCACAGTGTCTATAGGTTGGAGGCCAGAAGGGGCAGCCTGAGCTTTCTAGGGGTAAAACTAGAAAAGGAAAACAAAAGCTATGTTTTAAACCAAATCTCTGACCAAGTTCCTGCAAGTTAGAGGTACAGAGTGTGTGTACTTTCAGATCCCCAAGACTACTGAAGCGGGTTTATTCTGTACATCACCACCTCTTGTTCTCAAAGACTATTTAAACTTTTTTTTCCCCAGTAAAAGGGAGTTCCGTTCAAAATGTTAGTGTGTTTGTAATGGATGGTTCTTCCTTACTTGTAAATTTTGTAATTAATCTGATGAGACAACAGCTGTTATATTGCTGTTAATGATAGATATTGATTGACAAATACCATGTAAGAGAGGTGCAGCAATATTTTGGGGCCAGAGATAGGGCTCCAGGTGGAGAATATGACATGACTGATGTGCTACTGAGGACAAAAAGAATGTATATGGGGAAAAACAATGTAGTGGGGATAGGTGTGGTGCTGGTCATGGTAGCTGGGTCATGGGTAGAGGTAGTGGTCATTGTAGGGGTGGTCAGGATGGTGGTAGCAGAGGTGGCAGCAGCTGATGACTCATATTAAGGGAGGAAATGGGAGATGGAAAAGATGCCAGGCCATAGACACAAAATATATGGCCTAGGAAAAAGTTTTTGCTCCATTAGGTGCTTTTGGTAGCATTGATTGGAGGAAAATCAAGGGGCTCCTCTTTGTGGAACACTAAGCTGGTTTTCTTATTGTATCATTTATCTGTCCCTTCATCCCTGGAGGATATCACCTAACCTTAGGAGTAACAATAACAAGATCTCAGAAAGGAGTTATAATTCCACTGAAAGCTGATGTTTATATCCCATATTCCTGCTTGAGGCCAACACGTGTGTGTGTGTGTGTGTGTGTGTGTGTGTGTGTGTGTGTGTGTCGTGGGGGGTGTGATACTCTATTTACAGAAGTAGAGGAACACATGGTCAATTAAGAGAACTGCTTATGTGATTTAGGGGAACAGGCCTTAGTGTTTGCTGGGGTCCAACCCCAGCAGGTCCAGGGGTCCCCAAAGGTGTGGACGGAGTCGGCGAAGAAGGAATGACACGGAGACAGCGTTCAGTTGATCAGCAGCCTAGCCAGGATCTCTAGCCAAGTTCTGGTTAGGATCTCCAGCCAAGTTCTGTGTCCATGTTCTCTTGCTAGGTTCTCCAGCCAGGTTCTCCAGGTTCTCCAGCCAGGTTCTGTAGCCATGTCCCCTCGCTAGGTTCTCCAGCCAGGTTCTGTCCAGGTTCTCCAGCCAGGTTCAGTCACCAGGTTCTAGTCAGGTTCTCTTGCCATGTTCTATCCAGGTTCTGTAGCCAGGTTCTGTCTCTTGATTCTTCAGCCAGGTTCTCTCGCTAGGTTCTGTCTCTAGGTTCTGTGGCCAGTTTCTGTCCAGGATCTATTGCCATGTTCCGTCTCTAGGTTCTGTCTCTAGGTTCTGTGGCCAGTTTCTGTCCAGGATCTTTTGCCATGTTCTCTCGCTTGGTTCTGTCTCTAGGTTCTGTGGCCAGTTTCTGTCCAGGATCTTTTGCCATGTTCTCTCCAGCGACGTTCTTCTGTCTCTAGGTTCTGTGTAGGTTCTGTGTCTAGGTTCTGTCTCCTGTTGTCTTGTTACATCTGTATTTATACCAGTTGATTCCAATCCTATCAATCTCTATTCCAAAGGTTAGGGCGTTTCTTATCTCCATTCCAGGGAGTAAAGATTATGTAGCTTAAGCATGATTGTTCGTACCGGCTCCCGGCAAGTGTTATTACATCTGAAACCTCTCTGCCATTCCCACCACACATACATGATCTGTTTTGAAGAAAGAAATATGTGGATTTTTAAAAAAACGAGTTAAGCCCTGACCATGTAGCTTAGTTGGTTGGGCATCATCATGTTCACCTGGGAGTTGCCAATTCGATGTTGTGCTCTCACATCAGTGTTTCTCTCTCTCTCTCCCTCTCCTTTCTTCTCTCGCTAAAATATAAATTAAAAATATTTTTAAAAAATCAGTTAAAAGGGAAAAACAAAAAGGGGAAAGAGAATTAGAGAGGCC